GAGCGGTTAGAGGCAACACTTCATAATTTTGGTCGTATATCTGGACTAAAAACGAATCTGACGAAATCTGAAATCTACCCCATCAAACTAAACTCATCCTTATCTGACTCCATTAAAGCCTTAAGGTAAAGGTTTCCCTTGCTCGAAAGCCAGTCGGCTCTGACTCTAGGGGGCGGTGCTCACCTCCGTTTCCAAGCCGAAGAGCCAGCCAGCGCTGTCCGAAGACTTTTCCGTGGTCATGTGGCCGGCATGACTAGACGCCAAGGCGCACGCAACACTGTTATCTTCCCACCAAAGTGGTACCTATTTATCTACTTGCAATTTCTTGCTTTCGAACGGCTAGTTTGGCAGGAGCTGGGGCCAGAGACGGGAGCTCACTCCGTCACGCGGCACTCGGGTCTCGAACGGCCGGACTACAGACCTTCCAGCCTGCAGTTCAGCGTCTTAACCACTTGAGCCACCACCTTTAAAGCCTTATATCCCTACAAGTGGATAATGAAATCGTGGAACTATTTAGGCAGGACAATCTCTATATACATTTAAGGGATTTGAAATCCCACAACTACCACAAACTATCCCAACAGAGCGCCTTCTTTTTGAAAGGCATCACCTGTCCCCTGATCCTTTGACCTGAAGATGTGGCGCACTGAACCCGCGACCTCCTGGCTGCGGTCACACACACGAAATCACCCACTCTCCATCCACTTTCAGTGCACTTTCCAACCGGATTTTACTGTGTGAGCTGGCAAGATCCAGTTGGAACGTGGATTGAAAGTGGATGATTGTGTGTGTGTGTGACCACAGCCTCTCTGGTTGCAGCCTCTGGTTGACAAGCAGATGCTCTGCCAGCGGTTGGCGGCCCCTCCCTTCCCCCACCCTGCGCTCTCCACGTGCCCAGAAAGTGCCCCCTGCTGGGTTGAGCCCTCTGCCAAGGGATGCGGCTCCCTGCCAGCGCCTTCCCCGAGTTCCCTTCCACCCAGAAATCCCTTCTCAGGGGGGAAATAAAATCCAGGCTCCTAGCAACCCGTGCACGTGCGCAAGGCATGGATCTGGGTGCCCATTCTGCCCTCCCCAGCCCATAAGGGGCAGTTCAGACCCAGAAGCAGTGTTCCCTCTAAGCCGAGTTAGTGTGAGCCAGTTCACAGGTTTTTAGCCTCTGGCTCACAGAGCGAACTAATTGATGCAGCATCCAGATCGCTGGCTCACAGCTTCGATGCCAGTAGGTCACAAATTAGAATGTTTGCTCACGAGACCCCACAGCTTAGAGGAAGCATTGCTTGCAACCCGTTGCGCACAGGACACGCATGTGCACAGGGCATGGATCTGGGTGCTGGTTCTGCCCTCCCCAGCTCATGGGGGGCAGTTCAGACCCAGAAGCAGTGCTCCCTCTAAGCTGAGTTAGTGTGAGCCAGCTCACAGGTTTTTAGCCTCCTCCGGCTGACAGAGCAAACTAATTTATGCAGTAGCCAAACCGCTGGCTCACCGCTTCAATGCCAGTAGGTCACAAATTGGAATTTTGGTTCACAAGACTCCACAGCTTAGAGGGAGCATTGCTTGCCCCCAGTGTTCCCTCTAAGCTGAGTTAGTGTGAGCTAGCTCACAGTTTTTTCGCTTCCGGCTCACACATTTTTGTCTTTGCTCAGGAAGGATGGCTCCAAAGCAAACTGATTCACGCAGCAGCCAAATCGCTCGCTCAAGTCACAGCTTGAATGCCAGTTGCTCACAAAGTTGAATCCTTGCTCGCAAGACTCCACAGCTTAGAGGGAGCATTGCTTGCAGCCTATTGCAGGGGACACGCACGTGCAGAGGGCACGGATCTGGGTGCCACACCGCCAGCCCTGCCCTTCCCCAGCTCACGGGGAGGGGGCAGTTCAAACCCAGAAGTACTCACCGGAGCAGCCCCCCAAAAGGAGCAGGAGCAGGGCGGCCAGCCCCAGAACCAGCGACGGGCGCTGCAGCCGCGCCATCGGGAGCGCAAGCCGGCGCCTCAGGACTCACTCACTCCGGATCCGCTTGCAGGGAGAAAGGGGGTGGGGTGCGGTGGGAATCCACGGAAGGCAGGGAGGGGGGGGCTGGAATGGGGGGGGGGGGGGGGTAGGGGGGCGACAGGAAACCTCGCGGCGGGAGCAGCGGAGCCGCCTCCGGATTGGACAGAGTCGGTGGGAAAAGTCCGAGCGGGAGAGAAAGCTGGGCTCCTCCGGAGTGTCTTCGGGACACTCGACTTGGAGAATAAATGAGGAGGGGAGAGGCCCCAGTTCAGGGGCAGGAGGTGGTGGGCATGAGGGACTCCGTGCCAAGTTGGGTCTCCAGGGTCGCAGGGAACCCCCCCGCCGCCTTCTTGGAGATCGAGAGAGCCACCCAAGGCCAGGAAATCCGGGATTCACACAAACGGTCATTAACACGTGGGATTCACTGCCGCAGGAAGTGGCGGCGGCGACAAGCACAGACGGCTTCCAGAGGGGGTTGGGTCAGGCCCGCGTAGGCCGGTTTTGTGGCTTGTGGCGCAGTGCTCCCTGTAAGCTGTGGGGGCTTGTGAGCCAAAATTCTTCTTCGTGACCTGCTGGCATTACAGATCTGAGCGTGCGATTTGGCTGCTGCATCAATTGGTTTGCTCTGGAGCAAAGTTCCCTCTAAGCTATCGAGAAAATTCTACTTTGTGAGCTATTGGCATTAAAGTTGTGAGCAGGAGATTTGGCTGCTGCATAAATTAGTTTGTTCTGGAGCCATCCTTCCTGAGCTAAGACAAAAATGTGTGAGCCAGAGGCTAAAAAACTGTGAGCTAGCTCACACTAACTCAGCTTAGAGGGAACACTGCTCTGGAGCCATCCCTTCCTGAGCTCAGACAAAAATGTGTGCGCTGGAGGAGGCTAAAAACCTGTGAGCTAGCTCACGCTAACTCAGCTTAGAGGGAACACTGCTTGCGGGGCAACATTATTTTCTGGTAGAGGCTCCCTCTAAGCTATGGAGTCTTGTGAGCAAAACTTCTACTTTGTGAGGGACTGGCATGAAAGTTGTGAGCCAGCGATTTGGCTGCTGCATACATTGGTTGGCTCTGGGGCCCCCCCATTCCTGAGTGAAGACAAAAATGTGTGAGCTGGAGGCTAAAAACCTGTGAGCTAGCTCACACTAACTCACCTTAGACAGAACCCTGGTGGGCTGCCATTATTTCTCTGCCTGCCTCTAAACAACCAGTTGTCATGATTATAGCACTTTCGAGATCTTTGCAACAGCCCTTCACTAGGAGTCTCAGTTGTTGTTGTTCAGTCGCCTTTCCCTTCCCCTCCCCACAAAAGACACCCTGGGTGGCAGGTGGGGCTGAGAGAGCTCTTTCCAGAACTGTCCTTGAGAGAATAGCTCTGGCAGAACTTGTGACTGACCCAAAGTCATTCAGCAGGTGCAAGTGGAGGAGTGGGGAATCAAACCCGGTTCTCCCAGATTAGAGTCCGCACACTTAACCACCATACCAAACTGGCTCTGGGGTCTGAGACTGAGAGAGAAAAGGATCTTGGGGTCATAGTGTGCAGCTCAATGAAAGGGTCAACCAGATGGGCTGCAGTGGTGTAAAAGGTATACTCTGTGTTAGGGATTATTAGGAAAGGGATTGAAAATCATAGAATCATAGAGTTGGAAGGGACCTCCAGGGTCATCTAGTCCAACCCCCTGCACAATGCAGGAAATTCACAAATACCCCACACCCCCAGTGACCCCTATGCCATGACCAGAAGATGGCAAAAACCCTCCAGGATCCCAGGGGGAAACTATCTATGGTGCGGCCTCATTTGGAAGACTGTTTACAGTTCTGGTCACCAGATCTCAAAAATGACGTGGCAGAGCTGGAAAAAGTACAGAGGAGGGCAACCAAAATAATTAGGGGGTTGGAGCACCTTCCCGAGAAAGAAAGATTGAAGAGTCTAGGACTTCAGAGATGACGAAGGGAGAGGTTTTCTAAAATTATGCATGGTGTGAACACTCTTCTGGTGCTTGGTGGGAGACAGCGGGAGGGCTTCTGGAGTTCTGGAGAGAGTTGACAAAGAGACATTTTTCTCCCTCTCCCAAATTACTAGAACTTCAGGGCATCCAATGAAGCTGATGGGCAGTAGGTTCAGGATAGACAAAAGGAAATACTTCTTTACACAGAGAGTGATTAAAATGTGGAATTCACTGCCAGAGGATGTAGTGATAACCACAGGCACAGACAGCTTTAAAAGGGGATTAAGCAGATTCATGGAGGAGAGATCTACCGGTGGCTGTTAGCCATGGTGATTAAAAAAAACCTCCACATTCAGAAGCAGTTAATCTCTGTATCCCAGAGCCAGGAGGCAACATGGGGGTGGGGAAGGCCTCAGCTTTTGTGTCCTTTTGTTGGCTGTCCAGAGGAACTGGTTGGAAGTGCAGTTTTCCACACATCATCAAGTAAGGTTTTGTACCAAGTTTATTTTAAATTTTGTTGTACAATTACCTAAGATGTAAGTACTAATGTTCATATGTATTATATCATGTATAAGCTTATAGATTCTTGGTCAGAAGAAGACGTTTGTCGAAATGGCATCACATTCCGGAGACCACCGTCTCGCCATCGTTGTCATTTTCTATTTTATGTAATTGGATTTAGAATTTGAATGTATTAGTACCACTTTTGTAATTTTCATATGTATAACATTATTGCTATTGTTAAAGAAACATTGAGCTCACTTTACACAGTTCCTGTGGCTCTATCTTTTCATGGCCACTGCGTGAGACAGGATACTGGACTAGATGGACCACTGGTCTGATCCAACAGGGGTCTTTTTAGGTTCTTATGTAAACAAGCACATCTGGAATTAAGCAACGGGTCCCCTGGGATGTGGTTTCCAGTGCCTTAAGCCCACACATCTCACTGTTTCACAGGCAGCTTCCTAAAGCTACGAAACGTGTTCTAAATTAAAGCCAAGCCTGTTTTCTGGGAGCTAAAACAACCCAAGGGGGGAGAGTTAAAATAGGGTTTTATTTTACCGTTCTATTTTACTGAGAGTTAAATAGGGTTTTGTTTTATTTTACTTTACATTTAACGTTTGGGATTGTAAGCTATCTTGAGTCACAAGGGGAAGGCAGGAGACAAACATTTTAATACGTCGGTTCATTGATAATGGTCCCTTCTGGCTTTCTTGTGGCCCAAATCAAGTTAGATCTTGAGGGTGCGGCCAGCCGGCTGGAACAAGCGGTATTGGGGTTACGGCTTTTGCAATACAGAGAAACAAAACATGTCTTATTTGTTCAGGTATCTGGGGTTCGTTTCAGGAGTTTCAGACTTTGGGAGAGGCTTCATCTGCGCTTGCTTTCTTATCCCTTGCTTATTTTTTGTTTATTCTTAGTTATAGCCTGCATTTCTCCCTGACTGGGGATCCAAAGCAGTTTTTCACGTTGTCCTCCCCCTCCCCTTAATTCTCACAACAACAACCTTGAGAGGTAGATCAGAATGAGAGGTCACCTGGCAGGCTTCCGTGGCTGAGAGAGGGATTCAAACCCGGTCATCTGAAGAAGTGTTTGTGCACATGAAAGCTTATGCCCAGAACTTTACTTTACTTTATTTATATTCCTGCCTATCTGCCAATGAAAGCTGATGGGTAGTAGGGTCAGGACTGACAAAAGGAAATACTTCTTTACACAGCGAGTGATTAAAACGTGGAATTCGCTGCCAGAGGATGTAGTGATGGCCACAGGAATAAACAGCTCGAAAAGGGGATTAGACAGATACATGGGAGAGAAGTCTATCAATGGTGGCTGAGGGGAACCTCCAGATTCAGAGGCACGAAGCGTCTGAATCCCAGAGCTAGGAGGCAACATCAGGGGAAGGTCTCTCTGCCCTGCTGTTGGCCCTCCAGAGGAACTGGTGAGACAGGATGCTGGACCAGATGGACCACTGGTCTGATCCAGCAGGGCTCTTCGTATGATCTTATGTTCTTAAAGTGGCTTAAGTTGTTCTCCTCTCCTCTATTTTGTCCTCACAACAACCCCGTGAGGTAGGTGAGGCTGAGAGCGTGTGTCAGGCCCAAAGTCACCCTTCCATGGAAGCGTAGGGACTCGAACCTGGCTTTCCCAAATCTTACTGCAACACTTCAACCACTGCACATTGAATCAGACCCTTGGTCCATCACGGTCAGTATTGCCTACTCAGACTGGCAGCGGCTCTCCAGGGTCTCGGGCTGAGGTCTTTCCCATCATCTGCTGCCTGATACTTAACTGGAAATGTCGGGGGATTGAACCTGGGACCTTCTGCATGCCAAGCGTATGCTCTTACCCCCGACTCTGAGCCATAGCCTCTCCCCAACCACCACATGGTGCATGGTTCCGGCCACAGCTGACCCCATAATGCTGGCTTGCCGCCCCCCATCTCAGAAACAGACGAGTGCCCTGGGTGACTGCCTAGGTATGCCTAACGGGCAGTCTGACCCTGCGTCTGACTAGACTGGAATGGTCAAAGTTGTCTCTGCCATGGTGGCGACGCCACAACTTCCCGGCTCACCTGGGCAGGATCCTCCTGTGAACCTCCATTTTTATTTTCAAACCAGACTTTCTCTGAGGCGCTCCGGGTGGTGTCCACATCCCCCTCCCCTCATTTTATCGGCACAACAACCCTGCACTTGTGTTGAATACAGGAATGTGAAGAGGGCAAGCCAATAACTGGCCGGTGGTTTGGGACCGTGGCGTGAAATTCAGACCTCGTTTCATGACTGTTTAGCTTTCTCCGGCACGGGATGGAAGGAAGGCGACTCCGGCGGAGCAGAAGAGAGACCTTTGTTTCCCACAGACTCTGCTCTGAAGCTCTTTTACTCCATTGTGACTTTGCCTTGGGACTCTTTGAGGCATGCGAGAGACGACCCAGCCTGTCCATCCTCCTCTGCTCTTCTCTTCTGACTGTCCTTTGAGGGTCTTTGCTTTGCTGACAATCCCTGCCTTTTTCCCCCTGAAAGAATTTTTCCCCTCAGGG